AATACCTACTGAATAAAAAATCATATGTGAGAAAATAATAAATATTCTCTTAAAACCTTATTAAAAGTTATATATTTCCAAGTAACACTTCTAATTTTGAAAGTTGTAACATCCTGAAATTTATTATTCTCTTCCATGCCAATTCTGTAATAATAATGAAGAATGGGTTAAAAATTTCATTAGTTATTTAGTTCAACAAATTTTTGGTAATACTATCAATTTCATGATAATAAAAAAAGCCAAAAAAAAAAATTCATAATGAGACATGCAAAAACAAAAATCTTGATGCTGTGAATAAACTTGTGCTACTAGTACTAATCGAATATAAAGATACGAAACCATAATAATGAAATTTAATTAGAGTATTATCAATGATAGCACATTACAAAACAGAGAAAAAATAAAAGTAATAAAATACCATTACATTGTGAATCTTCTGTCTGATTAACTTAGATCGGGAAGAGAAAGGGCAAAGCATTTAGCAAAGCACTTTGAAAAACACTACTGTAATGTCTTGACTAGTGAAAAAAAGACAGAAGTACTTGTAAAATATGTTTCTGATCTTTTGAGGATTGGTCTAATTAACATAGCTAAGAAGATAAAGCATTAGAAAGGATTTAGTAAGAATACCATACTGATCTAATAATTCTCAGTCAGATCTCTCTAAGTGCATGCTCTCGTTTAATAATGTGCATATAAAGAATAATAAGAAAAGTGCATTTATAGAGTTAAGTATATATTTGGGCTAGCACTTGAGCGTGCATTTAAAGAGGATATGCACTTAGAAAGGTCTGAAATATATACGTATATGACTTTATCATCCAACCAATTACATTTGGTATTCTTGTGATTTTAGAACAAATTTTTATTTGTATAACCTAGGCAAATTTTGTTCAACCTAGTGTCTTGGGTTAATTAGTGACTTTTGTCAATAAATAACCTAACTCAGGTAGGGAAGCACTAATAGATATTAATGTGTTTCAATTATTCACTTAAAGAAAGTACTAAGTTTGCTTTATTATTTATGGATTTTATTATTTAAATTGACTAACTTTCTTTATTATTGTTATTACTTCAATACTTATACCCCTAATTAACTCTAGCCATTATATCATATATTGGTCATACGACTATTGTCTCTTAAATTGTTTACATATTCTAATCGATTGTTAAAGCATAACTTACTAATAAACTATCTTGTAACACATGACAATGTGTAATTGATCTTACTTTTGATAAATTAATTGCAATCTTACTTCGGTACTCCAAATGCATTACCAACTGTTTATGATTCCGATTAATCATCATATGAACCATGTGAGTTATATTAGTTCGTTTTGACCCAAAGATATTTATACTTATTTTCGCTTATATATTTACATATTACATTCATATATTATTATACTTTATTATTATTTATTTATTCATCGACACATCCTTACTATCTAAAGCTCTAAATTGATGCTCCTTACTAAATATATCGCATAATTGTCTTCACCGTGATACTAGGAAAAATTAACGATATATGTAAGTATGTTTTTTTAAATAAAACAGGAGTTCTAATATTATAATTAGAATTAGAAGGGTTTAATGTATCTATTTCAAAACTTTTATAAAAATCGATTATATTTTTAAAAACTTTTATATATAACATATGTTCGATTTTTGTGTAATATTTTTTTGGTTGATCTACTTATATAAGAAATTATCTACATTCACCCTACCCTTAAATGCAAAAATTTGGAAAAATTTGAAAAAATTTATTTCCAAAATTTTACGGGTCCCTGATACATATATTACGTGTAATTGTAGATTTTTTAATGGATATTTACATCAGCAAATTTATAAGACCGTAATATTTTGTAATAATTTACGAAATGTAATATAGCTATAATATTATGTAAGAAATTTTGAAATATTGCGAAATATCAAATTACAAAATATTACATTAAGATATTTCGAAATATTTCAAAATTTCTTACGTAATATTACGGCTTTTTATATTAAGTAAATTTCAAAATAATTCGCACAAACTTTAATAGTATATATTAAATTGCAAAAATATTTAATGCCAAAATACATAATATATGTAGTATATAGTATCGATATCATTAATAATAGTCAATCTGATCCTCTTTATAAGTATGATACGTAAGTTAAGTCTAATTATTAAACGTGCGCGCTACTATTTTTTTTATGCCATTATAGTGGTTACATAGATCAACACCCTGATTATGAGGTAATATGATAATCGAATTTATTTAGACAAGATCTATATCAACTTCAAAACTTTCATCTCTATTTTTTTTTTTGGTTGAACTTGTTTGTTGAATAGCTGCTTTTTTTCGTGGGATTCGTCATTGGAGTCGTGTATTTCAGTATAATTTCTTCATTGTTGGTGTCATACTTCTTTATTGCCAATGTTAATGGCTCCTTCACGTTTTCAGGAAAGGATTCTTTTTTTTTTTTTTGTATAAACTTGTTTTGTTAATTTCAGCTTGCTACTTTTTTTTCTTCATGGGAATCGTTATTGGAGTTGTCCATTTCAGTGTACTTTCTCGTCGTTGGTGTTGTGTTTCTTTATTGCTGATATAGTTTGACTCCTTCACATTTTCAGGAAAGTATTCTTTTTTTTTTTTTTTGTTGAACTTGTTTTGTTGATTTCAGTTTGCTGCTTTTTTTTCTTTGTGGAAATCGTTGTTGGAGTCGTCCATTTCGATGTACTCTCTTGTCATTAGTGTTGTGTTTCCTTATTGCTGATGTAGTTCGGCTCCTTTATGTTTTCAGGAAAGTATTCTTTTTTTTTTTTTGTTGAACTTGTTTTGTTGATTTCAGTTTGCTACTTCTTTTTCTTTGTGAGAATCTTCGTTGGAGTCGTCCATTTCGGTGTACTTTCTTGTCGTTGGTGTTGTGTTTCCTTATTGCTGATGTAGTTCGGCTCTTTCATGTTTTCAGGAAAGTATTTTTTTTTTTTTTTGTTGAACTTGTTTTGTTGATTTCAGTTTGCTACTTCTTTTTCTTCGTGGGAATCATCATTAGAGTTATCCATTTCGGTGTACTTTCTCGTCATTGGTGTTGTGTTTCCTTATTGCTGATGTAGTTCAGCTCCTTCATGCTTTCAAGAAAGTATTCTTTTTTTTTTGTTAAACTTGTTTTGTTGATTTTAGTTTGCTGCTTCTTTTTCTTTATATGGTGCGCCAAGTCACTTCTTATCAAAAATCATGTTTATTTTAAAAATCTATAAAATCTTAAAGTTTAAATATTTTTTAAAAATGTAACTGATAAAAACTATTGTTTTCTATTAGTACTATCCAAATTATCGATTAGAATTTTTTAAAAAGTTTACGATTTAAAGTTTTAAATGTTTAAAGCTATTATGCTTTCAAAATTTTGGCATTTAATATAAAAAATTTTAAAATTTTTTTTTTTTATCCAATCATAATTAGTATATAACGCATTCTGATTGGCTAAATAGTATTTATATATACCCTAAATTTGGCGCATTTGATGTGAAGTGACTTGGTGCACCATAGAAATTGTCATTGGAGTTCCATTTCGGTATACTTTCTTGTCGTTGGTGTTGTGTTTTCTTATTGCTAATATAGTTCGGCTTCTTCACATTTCAGAAAAGTATTCTTTTTTTTTTTTGTTGAACTTGTTTTGTTGATTTTAGTTTGCTGCTTCTTTTTCTTTGTGGGAATTGTCGTTGGAGTTATTCATTTCGGTGTACTTTCTCGTCATTGGTGTTGTGTTTCCTTATTGCTGATATAGTTTGGCTCCTTCATGCTTTCAGGAAAGTATTCTTTTTTTTTTTTTTGTTGAACTTGTTTTGTTGATTTCAGTTTGCTGCTTCTTTTTCTTTGTAGAAATCGGCGTTGAAGTTATCCATTTCGGTGTACTTTCTCGTCGTTGGTGTTGTATTTCCTTATTGCTGATGTAGTTCAGCTTCTTCACGTTTCAGGAAAGTATTTTTTTTTTTTTTTGTTGAACTTGTTTTGTTGATTTCAGTTTGCTGCTTTCTTTTTTTTCATAGGAATCGTTGTTAAAGTTATCTATTTCGGTGTATTTTTTCATCATTGGTGTTGTGTTTTCTTATTGCTGATGTAGTTTGGCTCCTTCACATTTTTAGCAAAGTATTCTTTTTTTTTTTGTTGAACTTGTTTTGTTGATTTCAGTTTGCTGCTTCTTTTTTTTCGTGGGAATCATCATTGGAGTCGTCCATTTTGGTGTACTTTCTCGTCGTTGGTGTTGTGTTTCCTTATTGCTAATGTAGTTCGGCTTCTTCATGCTTTCAGAAAAGTATTCTTTTTTTTTTGTTGAACTTGTTTTGTTGATTTCAGTTTGCTGCTTCTTTTTCTTCGTGAGAATTATTGTTGGAGTCGTTTATTTCGGTGTATTTTCTCATTATTGGTGTTGTGTTTTCTTATTGCTGATGTAGTTCAGCTTTTTCATATTTTAGGAAAGTATTCTTTTTTTTTTTTGTTGAACTTGTTTTGTTGATTTCAGTTTGCTGCTTCTTTTTCTTTGTGGGAATCGTCGTTGGAGTCGTCCATTTTGGTGTACTTTCTTGTCATTGGTGTTGTGTTTCCTTATTGCTAATGTAGTTTGGCTCCTTTATATTTTCAGCAAAGTATTTTTTTTTTTTTTTGTTGAACTTGTTTTGTTAATTTTAGTTTGCTGCTTCTTTTTCTTCATGGGAATCGTTGTTGGAGTCATCTATTTTGGTATACTTTCTCATCGTTGGTGTGTGTTTCTTTATTGCTGATGTAGTTCGGCTCCTTCACATTTTCAGCAAAGTATTCTTTTTTTTTTTTTTTGTTAAACTTGTTTTGTTGATTTCAGTTTGCTACTTCTTTTTCTTCGTGGGAATCATCGTTGGAGTCGTCTATTTCGGTGTACTTTCTCGTCATTGGTGTTGTGTTTTCTTATTGCTTATGTAGTTTGGCTCCTTTGTTTTCAGGAAAGTATTCTTTTTTTTGTATAAACTTGTTTTGTTGATTTCAGTTTGCTGCTGCTTTTTCTTCGCGGGATTCGTTGTTGGAGTCATCCATTTCGGTGTACTTTCTTTGTTGGTAGTGTTGTGTTTCCTTAGTGCTGATATAGTTCGGCTCCTTCACGTTTTCAGGAAAGTATTCTTTTTTTTTTTTGTTGAACTTGTTTTGTTGATTTCAGTTTGCTGCTGCTTTTTCTTTGCGGGATTCGTCGTTGGAGTTGTCTATTTTGGTGTATTTTCTTCATCGTTGGTGTTGTGTTTCTCTATACCGATCGTTAATAGTTGTCAAAAAAGTATGTTGTTAATTATTTTTTTTAAATTTGAACTTGTTTTTGTTGAACACTAATATTTTAGCTTGCAGATACTTTTTCTTCACGGGATTTGTTGGAGTCATCCATTTCAGTGAACTTTCTTTGTCATGTTTTCTTATTGTCAATGTAGTTCTTTCATTAACTACTCCATTATGTTAGGGTTAGATATTTAGAGTATTGATTTGCCAGCTTAGCTAGTTTTAGAGTTTTAAAGTGACAAAATCGTTAAGATGTAATATTATTTTTTTATAATAAAAAAAATTTGTGTATTAACACGTTATTATTGATGATAATCACCCAATAATAGTTATATTATTATTAATTAATTAATAAACAATCAGATACCTGATTGCTTTTGGATTGTTTGCTTAATTACAATGATTTTTTATTTCCGATGTTTGCCTTGAAATGACACGATTCGAGCCATTAATCGGTAAAACGTCAGGATTTAAAATCAGAAAACTATCAGAGAATCATTATAGCTCTATCAATTGTTCTGATAGAGTATTATTTGACCAGTGTATTCTGCAATAAATTGCGTAATATTTCGTAATATATTGCGTAATATTTCGTAATAAATTGCGTAATATTTCATAATAAATTGTGTAATATTCCGTAATAAATTGCGTAATATTACGCAATAAATTGTGTAATATTTTGTCCAGACTATAATTCTTGCGCAATATTACGGGCCGTAATGTCTTGCGTAAAATTATATTTATATAATTTGCTGATATATGTTCTAGCATGGTTATATATCCTGATATAGTAATTTTTCGCTATTATGTCTAAAATAACTATGATATAATCACATGTGTTGGCAATCTGTTAAAGTGCATACAGTCCAAGATATACTTATTATTATAATTGTTCTCCCTTCCTCGTATATTTTTATTCACCTGCTAATAACTGAAAACTTATAATCTTTTTTTTTTTATTAGACCAGACCAATTTGATTCTCTGTTTAACATAACTCTCTCTCTATTTTTTAAAATTTTGTATATAAAAAAAACACAATTTTGACCAATCAAATTGCAGTATTAACTTTTTATATTTTTACATTTTTTACAGCCAATAGAATTGCTGTATTTTTTTATTTTTGTTTTTTTTTAATGCCCTCTCTCCCACTTTCATAAGCAACCTTTATATTATGTTAAACAGAAAATTAAATTGGAGTGGCCTTAGTAATGCATACTGAAGATTGGCCAGGCTTGTCAAGACCCAGTTTATGAGCTATCTGATAGTTTTTATCAGACAATAGGCTGGCTTTCCCTGCAGAACGCCCAACCCAGTTACCTCACTGATGTTGGCTATAATATCATCATACATCAAGGCATAGTATAGATATCGTATAATCTAGGCCTTAGCCGCCCTTTTGCTAGGATACATGTTCTACCCATATATTCACCCAGACTTTAGTAACTTTATGCCATAGCTTGACCCATGTACTTGGGGTTAGGGCTAGCCATTGAACCCTTGCAACTAACTAGTACTTGCCATAACCCAGTAATACCGATCTAGTATATATATTATATATATCCCAGGTTTCTCCCCCTCGGTGTTACAGTTCCCAGATCTGTATTCAAGCCACAGCCTTTCTAATTAATCACCTATTATCTACTTCTTGCCCTTATTAGGTTCACAACAACCCTGATACCCGCAATTGGACCGTCTTCTTACCCAGATTCTTTATTGGTCTCTCTCTTACTTCTAGCTAGCAACCCAAAAGGGTCGGTTTGCCCAGGCTTTAAGTGCCTGAAGGATGCTCTCTGCTTGGTACATACTTTTGAAGCATATATCCTTTTTCTCTAATGCGACAGAACCCGTAGTTCGGCTAGTGTGTTCTCCGCCATTAGGACCTGGTCATTTGGTTCTCCAATCTCGGACCTCAGTTCGAATTCAGCCTTCTTGTAATACTATCGATGATCATTACTACTCCTAACTCGGGACTTTCCAAATGGATTTTCGGTTATGCCAGTTCCTCAGATTTATTGTGTTATTGCTCCCGTTACTAGATGGTGTAATCAAAGTTACAGATTATATTCAACCAATAAGTATAGCCATTAACCAAACACAAGCCTAATTTTCGAAAATTGTTGTCTGTAGGATTTGAACTCTAGATCTGCCACTTGGAGAGAGTGATTACTAGACCACTACACTAAGTTGCCACATCTCTAAAAACTTATAATCAAAATTATTTAAATAATTTATTTATTAATTATCAACTGATTAAATTAAAAAATTTCTTTTTGCACACAATGAAATAATTTCTTTAAAATAAAAGATAACCAAAACATAAACAATTATAATAGTGAAACACTAGAGCAGATTGTTTTAAATATTGGTGGCATTAGGGTAAAGAATTTATCTATTAGCTATATAAAAATTATCTTTCTATTAATTAAGTATATAATATGAATTTGTATATAGTATGAAACATATTGTTTCACTTTGATATTATATCCCAATACACTTCTTGAAACAATGTTTGCTGAGCAGAATAAAGCTTTATAAGACACTTTAAGAACAGTTAACTCAGTAATCGACAATCATTTAATAAACTGCTTATTGACTGAAAGTCAACTAATAAAAAAATAAGGCCAGGCATGATCACACAAATCAACCTACCACGCACCCAAGGTACCGGCCTTCCCAGGGCATACAGAATCAGATTTGCTAAACGCATAGTATCAAGAGTTACACGCATAAGAAACACGCAGATCACGCATAACAAATCAAACCAATCATACAAACATCGAGTATCACCAACGATCAGCAGGCCCAGGACGCATGAAACCATGCAGGCAACTAGCCATATAACCCCTTTTTATATAAATAAACAATCCTACAGCAGGAAAAACAGCATCTCTCACCTAAAAAATTTTTTAGCTCCACCCAGCCTACTTCCAACAGTCTTAGGACAACCATCTGATTTTGCCATTTTATAGCCGGCCTGCTTCGGCAAGTGAGAAACCACCGGCTAATAATCATGTTGATATTGCTCAACTATATTTCTACCTGGCCTGTTACAGTGACTCTTAGTGCAATAACTCTTTTGGGAAAATCACTGTTTTAGTATCTATTGTTATAGAACGCCTAAGAACATATTAAAGATTATGTTCTCAAAAGACCCAGAAGACCATGATGATCAAAACAAGCTATAATACATGATAAACAGACTAACAGATAACCGGCAATTGATAAACAAAGATAAACCAAGAAGTGACAAACAATAAGCTGGAATGGATTTACAATACTTGTAAATCTATACTTATAATATTTCTTTATAATATTTCTTTATGTTTCTTAATGTTTCTTAATGTTTCTTATTATTTCTTATTGTTTTATTATGTTTTTTAATGTTTTTTTATGTTTTTTAATGTTTTGTTATGTTTCTTAATACTTCTTATTGTTTCTTATATTTTATATTCTTTTAGTATATGTTGTAAAAGCTATATAAACCCTAGCTTTTACCCTTTCTTTAACTTCAAGATTTGTTCCTTGCAATGTTCTAAAATATTAGGATTCTATAGGAATAGATATCTATGGATAGCTTTGTATCTAGACATTGTATTATAAATAAATAAACATATTTTTGCTCTAAAGTAAACTATGTCTCTATGCTTCTAATGAATATACCGAACTGCTCTAGTGAGGAAACATTCCACTTCCACACCACTTCATATCTCACTCTGTTGTATTAGAGATTCCTGTCGCTGTGTGCTATGTTGCAGGTGGTAAATTAAGAAGGCTACCCCACTTGTAACACTATAAATGTATAAACTGTATTACCTCTATACTCTTGTACTGCTTACCTAATAAAATAAATACATTTCCAGCTTCTTAAATAGCTGGCATCCAGCCATAAAATACTAGTGCAGGCCAATGTTTTTCGATATCATGACGTCATTTGTTTACCAGAATTAAATAAACTGGCCTAAACTATATCCTAAACTAACCTTAACTTAGGCCGAAGATAATCATGTGATATTGTGATGATCACTGGGTTAACTCTTCTTAAATCTTCCCAGCTTTATTACACCCAATCAACGGCAATGAGTATTTTATTGATCGTAATGGTTATGCTTTTTATTATATATTGGAAT